GTACCTACGACTGGTTGTACTTACGACTAGTTGTACCTACGTCTAGTTGTACCTACGACTAGTTGTACCTCTGGCTAGTTGCATCTCCCCTTTAATTTGTCACCATTAAGGGGATTACTTTTAGAGTTTACAAAAACAACTAAAAGGGGATTACTTTTAGAGTTTACAAAAACAACTAATAGAGTATATTGAAGTGTTTTTTGTAGGGTATTAGTCACGGGGAAAATTACAAAAACTGCAAATTAAAAATGTCCTTATGGAGAATACATAAACTGGCATAGATCCAGGTAACATTATACCTTTTATAATCTAAAAACAGTAATCCTGAGACAAGAAACAACATGGCGTAGTTTGCTTGTTCCTGCATATACTTTGACAAATCTGTTTATTTCATACTTAATTATTAACTTTTCTAAAAACACTACTTAATAACCTTCAACGCAAACGTAATAAAACCTCAATATTGAAAACCCGATGAAAAAATAACCAGATATGACTTTTTTGTGTGCGCTTATTAGTTCTTATTATAATTAATATTGGTTTAGTTGCAGATTTAATTTATATAGTTTAAATGTAATTAAGAAATATCCTACTCAATTGACTTGGAACACAGTAGTTTCTGATTTAATTACGGGTATAATCAAAAAGTACTCGTGCAGTAAACAACTAAACAGGGTAAAGACTTGAAGGATATGCACAACTAGACTATAAGGACTCCCAATACGCGTAGGTACAACTAGTCGTAGGTAAAACTAGACGTAGGTACAACTAGACGTAGGGACAACTGGTCGCATCCGTACAAGCAAGGTGACACTACTTGTCGGTGGCATACACGTCTAGTTGTACCTACATCTGGTTGTACCTACATCTGGTTGTACCTACGTCTAGTTGTACCTCTTAGAAATCTGCAGGTACAACTAGTCGGGTGTGCCACCGAGACAGCGACTCATACCGACAATTGCGCTGTGACCGCGAGTCATACCGACGGTGTGACCGTCAGTGTCACAGACGGTAAATATTTATTTTGTTTGTCTTTGTTGGTAACCCCAATACTCCAGACTTTCTTTTTATGCACAGGGAAAAATCCCATCCCGTCCCGAACTAAAAAGTCAATCCCGTCCATCCCTACTTTTAATTAATAACATTGTTGAAAATTTTTAGAATGCTCTCTCGCATGAATAGTCACAGGTTTTTGTATATCAGGATGGTTTACATCATATCTGTGGCCATTCATACGAACTCTAAGAGCATTTGTGGTTTTGCCAATACCACATTTTTGAAGACTACCTTCAGGACAGTTTTTGCAGGAAATTTGGTAAATGACATTGGTAGAATCACATGTGAAAGTGATGTTACTATATGTTATAAGATCTTTAAGTTTGGCTGCTAGTGAAGGTTTTTGACGGGATTATTGATTTACAAGTGGCACATCGTGGTTTGTGGCATTGATTACAGCCCGAAGGTTTTGCTGATGGTTGGGAAGAGGGAGGTAGTTTGGGTTTTGAAAGAATGTCTCAAGTTACGAGCTTTTAGCGAATTTCCCATATAGGGAATAAGCTATTACTGTAGTACTCATGGTAAGACATGGACCCGGGACCGATTTAATTTTTCGTTTTGAGGTCCCTAGAGGCCAAAAACACCATCCGTTCAAATTCATCTATATATTAATAATTACGTAAGCCGATTCTTTGCGTCAAAATTGTGGGTGACTGGGAAGTCGTAGAACGACGGGAGAGGGCTCAAAATTAAAGGTCTCGATCCCGCGACAGCGGGAAAAGTAGTGAAATTCCCAAAATTGTAACACAAAATTAGCTATTACGTAAAATGTTCTCCATAAGAATAGCATTAGAAGCCATTTACTGCTGATTTTTGTTTTTCAATACAGCTGATTTATCACTTAAGCCAGTCAGTAAGCAATATTACATTATTTGGATTACTCATTTTCCAGTCAATTCTGCAATTCACTGTATACTATACTATGTAAAAATAGGGATAACGTTACCTAGAATTATTAAAACTATTTTGTTAGATCTTAGAATGTTGAAATAAATTATTTTACTGTGAAACCTTTAAAATTTTAGTATTTTTAAGCGTATGATAAGTAGTAGAATCATTTGAGCTGGCTCAAATCAAAAGAATTGAACTCAGAATGGCTGGATAAACAACCTATGAAGTTTTTCTTCTAATTTAAAGGTTATTGTTGTGTTGTAGAAATGTTTAATATGAAATAACCACATTGAACAACAACAGTTTTCATTTTTTCCATAAGATTAACATGGGAATTTTAAATTACACTATTTTTTTAATTTTTTTCTGTTAGGCGTACAACAGCACTTCAATATATTAAATTATTTATTTTTTTAAGCTCTACAAAACTGTTTAAAGTCTGTCTCATGTTAAGTTGAGGCAGACTACCTGACCAGAGGGTAGAGAAGAACAATAGCTAGACCGAACCTTCGAAGGACCCTCCCGACCATTTGAATAAATCCCATTAACCACGCTTCAGTGAATACTTCAAATAAAAGCGTAAATATATTGAATTATTAAAAATATAATCAATTCGTCATATCTGAAAATTATGTATTCTAGGTTATAAAAAAACAAAATTTTTCATGTTCATCCCATGCAAATCGGCCGACTTTAAGTATTAAAACAAACTTTTCCCCTTATAACTAAGTACAATATTTAATTTTAAATTACTAATAATTGATATTCTGTATTATACTTCGTTCATAATATTTAGGTGGTATTAGGGAAAGAAATCTATCACCTCCACTTGACCCTTGCCTTTAAAAATGAGCATTCGAAACGCCGTTAACGAGTGGAAACCTCGATTGTAGGCTTTTGGTGCCGTTATCAAAACTCGAGTAGGATACAACTTGATACACACTGATTCTCCGGTTCCCGACATGGATGGTAGCTAGTTATTTGATTTAATTTACAATTACATATTGCCCTTGTGATTAATCAAACCCGTTATTTAAGCCACACGGTTATTAATCTCACTTCTTTAATGTATAAAATGTTAAAATAAAAAAATAAAATTTTGAACAATCTACAGACAAAACTCTAATTTTATTTATATTGATAGATGCACTATTAATACAGACTTATAAATTAATTTTGTACTACCTCAACTTAACATGAGACAGCCTTTAAAAAGAAATAGGAAATTTTTTTGATTTTAGGGTCAAAAATGGGAAAACCCCATTTTTACCCCATAAAACCCCCCATAAACCCCCGTTCCCATGGTCCGATTATGCTAGTTCGCGAACTCGTTCAAATAAACGTAGGTTTACATGTTTGTACCAAATTTCATCAAAATCGGATCATTTTTGCTTGAGTTATCGGGCTAACGGACACACATATATATATATATATATATATATATATAAATACTAGTGGCTTGTAGGGACATAAGTCCCTAAAAAGCTCAAATGTAAAACAAATTAATTATAGTAATATTTAAACTAACTCAGAATTAAATTATCTATGTGTCAGAATAGATATTTCTGTATGCCATATCTTTTAAATAAAAAAAGTTTTTTGTTTGTCCTTGTTTGCTTTTGTTGACGTTATTTTCAATAAATAATTTGAATCACTCCGGAAGCTTTACTCTGCCAAAGACAGCAAACATATAATTGTTTGTGAATAAATACTGGTTTATTTAGGTAGCTTTGGTGTTTGGTCTTGTGGTTAATGAGGTTTAACAAAATTAGTGTGTTGTGTTGTTGAATTAGTGTATTTTTTGTGGATATATATTTTGATAACATTTAGCAAATTTATTTATTTCATCCTATAGTATTGACGTAGTGTGAAAAAAACAATTTTTACCTTCCCCGTAGCAGCAAACCTAAGCACTCGTTAAATCTAATGTCATTTAAATTGGGAATAAATTTTATGTCTTATTTATGGAAATACTAGCAGAGTACCCGTCCTTCGTACGGGGTTGGAATATAAGTATAAAATGCTTATTGCAGTTATACTCAAGCTTTGCGATTGCAATGGGTGGAGGACACAGTTTGATAAAATTTGCTTTTTTAAATTTACAGTATTCTATAGTATTACACATCTACCATAGCCATAATGTTCTACCATTTTACCTAAACAATAGAGAAAAATAAATTATCAATTCGCAAAATATCACAAATTATTCATGAAATGAAAAACATATACATAACTGTAAACAATCCTACTTTGACAGTTCTCATTGCGAATCACAGTTTTTTGTTGCTGCTTAGTTCAAATTAGCTGCTTCATAAATGCAAAAAAAAATATAGTGCTGCACCCTGTTGGTAAATCTTATAACTTTTTAATGCTTTTCCATATCATAGAACCAACTTTTTTAGTTGAAACAGCTGACTAAATTCTTTAATTCCCTTTAAATATGAATACTCATAAGGTTAACATGGGGAATTACAGAGCCACTGGGGCGGAGCCCGAAAGGATTTTTGAGATAAGAATATGCCTATATGTTAATCGGGAATGTAAGCTATCATCATGCCAAATTTCAGCCCAATCCGTCCAGTGGTTTATGCGTGATTGAACTTCAAACAAACAAACAAACAAACACACAAACTTTCACATTTATAATATTAGTAAGATTTTAGTAAAAATGTAATCAGACAAGTTGAAATTCGCTTAGTCTGCAGGTTTGCTGCGGCGGGGGAATTTTGTATATTAGTCTTGGGGGTTTTGAAAACAAATTATGGGTCAGAGGTGAATTTGAAAGAATATTATGTGCCACTCTTAAAACATTATTAACTTTGTAAAGGCCAGGAAAGTACTGGCTGATGAATTTTGGATCTTTTTTGAAATTATCTGTGTTATGATTTTTTAAACTTGTTATTTGACTGTCTATTAAATTTTTTACATAACTAACTTAGGTATACTTAGTTAGTATCCATTCCTTCTTCCTCAATGTACTGTCTTGTAATAAGGACAGATACCCAGATCTTGTGCAGGGGCAGGTGGTGTTATAAACTATGACTGTTTTGCAGGGATTCCAGAGAGTTTATGAAGACATGCCTGATATCATTTTGGATGTGCCTCTGGCTGGAACAGTTCTGGAACGATTTGTTGAACAGTGTCATATTGCTGGTTTCATATCTGAAGACATGGTCAAGAAGATGCCTACCAGGTAATTTATCGGTTTGATTTTATAATAGAGAATAACTCAATTACATTCCTTGATTCTGGATCAAACGGTGCTAATGTAACTATGTATTGCATACTTTATTCCTAGATTATTGTGGTGTTAATAAAATTCTGACTAGGAAACAGCCAGTCTTAGTTAGTAACAAAGATACACATATCATCTTGCTCCATTCTACACTTATCACTCATTCATAATCAGATTAAATTATGCACCATGTTCATTGCTGTCTTAAAGAATTGAATTGATAATCCACACATTCAGCATCAGGATATAGTGTCTTTGTACAAAAGATCCATATATTATACTACAAGTCACACTCCCATAAACCATATATTTAAAACGTTCGTTATGATGAGAAACCTTTTGCAAAACTATCCATTATTTCTTGTATTATTTGTTTGTATTACTGTATTCTGTTTTGTTTTTTTCGGCTTAACTTAACCAATCAATAGTTTTATTACAGTAATACCAACTTATGAAGTCAAACGGGGTGAAGCCCGTGGGTACCAGCTAGTTATAATAATTTACTCTTTTATTTACATTCAAAATCATATTTAAACGTTGATGATTTAATTATGAACTCCCCACCTTAAAGTATTGGTTTCCACTAGTGCTCTTTACCCTTTTGTAGTAAACGGCTATCTAAATAGTCATTAGTGCCTAGGGGTGGCAGATAAATCCATGAGTATAATGTTTCTTAAAATGTTTTTACAGTAGCTACAAGGAACTACATTAAAACCTGTCTAACTCGACACCTGGTAACTCGACAGTCTGTGTAACTTAACAGTCAACGAAAAACAGTCTACGAAAAATAAATCTTTAAGAACATTTAATTGAGCGGAGCTCTTTAGGATCAACTTCAATGCAATCTTTGTAACACTTGATGTCAATAACGGCTGAACATATTTTAGCCAAACATACGAAGGTTGATTTATCTAATGTTTGGATGGTTAGACGTAACCAATTCCAATATTTTATAATGCCTATATAAATTTAAAGTAACTTAAAATCTTTTCAAATTTTAACATTGGACTTATAGATTGTCGTGATGGTTACAAAATAACGACGTACCTGTAAATGTAAACAAAACAAAGAATCATAGCATATGTTAAACACAAGACACGAACTAAACACAGTACAAAGGAAAAAATTGGATGATGAGGACTGATCAAATAATACAGAGAAAGTCTTAGATTTACATTTAAGTCGCATGTTGGAAACGACCACTGATCTAAAATGCTATGGGAAGGGAGGGAAACAGGTCCAGGACGTAGGAAGTGGTGAATAAAGTAGTAAAGGCTAGCAGTGCGGGGTTGTGGGAAGCCTTTTGGGCAGTTAGATTAAACATATTTATTTAAAATAGTAAAATGCAATGGGAAGAAAGGGAAACTGGTCCACGACGTAGGAAGTGGTGACAGAAGTAGTAAAGGCCAGCAGTGCGGTGTGTGAGAACCGTCTGTGGCAGTTAGATTAATGCATCTGCAATCTTAAAATGCTCTAGGGAGGGAGGAAAACAGGTCCACGTCGTAGGAAGTGGTGAAGGAAGTAGTGAAGCCTAGCAGTGCAGAGTGTAGGAACACTTTGTAAAGTTAGATTAATGTATCTGCAATCCTAAAATATTATGGGAAGGGAAAGAAACAATTCTACGACGTAGGAAGTGTTGAAGGAAGTAGTAAAGGCTAACAGTACAGATTGTGGGAACATTATTTGTATTTTGTATTATATTAATACAATTTTTTTTTTATTTATTGCTTTATTAAAAACCATGAAACATGATTGCTCCGCTCAAGAAAGCAATCCTAGTTATAATTAGGGATGTGCCAATTCCGATTCTCAATACGTCGATCTCGATACGTTGCTTCATTGTACTCAAAACCGATTCTGAAAATGAGATTAATTATGATGCGAAATTCGACTTGTGTTGAAGGTTGTAAAGAGTAGATGTTGGCACATGGATGTTGTTTTTCGTATATGGATAGCCTACGGATTCCCTCATGAATCGAATTGTTTTTTTTATCACCACTGAACCGAATCGTGATTTGATGCATCGAATCAAATCTAATCGGAAATTGGATGCATCGCACACCCCTAATTTAAAGCAACATCTTGGTGGTCAGCGCCTAGACAACAATGATGAGGCCAAAACAGCAGTGATACAGAGGTTATCCAGTCAGAGGCGGCAGAATTTTTTAAGAAAGGAATGCAAAAGCTTGTAAAACGTTATGATAAATACCTTAATATTAATGGAAACTATGTCGAAAAGTAGGTAAAGATACTGGCTTTAAATAAAAATATAATTATTACAATAAGTATACTGTTTTTTGTCTTATTTTAAAACAGCACTTACTTAAAAAACATGCCTCATACATTCAGTTAAAAAAATCATTATAGGACATTGTACTAAGTGCTGCACCTGTATCCAATTCCATTGGTATAGTTTTACCTTCAATCAATATGTCAAGAATGAATTTATTTAGAATGAATTTATGTCTGTCGCTTAGTACATTAATTTCATGTTCATACTCACTGCCTTTCTCCGAGCCTTCTTGAGTCTGGTACTGCTTTAAATTTATGTTAGTCTGGTTCTTTTTCTGTAAGCATACACTCACTATGTGTCCAATTTTAGTACATTTTCTGCACTCAGCATCTATAAATTTACATTTGTTAGCTCGATGAGAAGGTGAACCGCAACTGTAACATTTCCCTTTTAGATTGTCAAATGTTGTGTTTGTTCTCGTGGTGGTTTCTTGAAGTGTTTGTTCAACATTTTCTTTGGCTTGTTCCTATCACTACTATCGGAATCCACCCTGTTCAAATCAACGTGTTCCATTGCCGACGCTTCGTTAACAATGTCTTTGTACGTGTGTTTCTCTTGTCCTTCAATTAGTTTGGCTTGAATATCTATGTCATTCAAACCACGGATAAACTGAAGTTTAAGAAACATCTCTGCAACCGACTTTCCACAATCACAATTAAAGTTACAGTTGCTAGTTAATTTCTTAAGTGCTATTGAGAACTCATTTATGAAAAAAACATCAAAAAGGAAGGATTTTGGGGACACTCCAAATTTTCAAAATAAAAAAAATAAAACTTCCTGCCAAGGCTGCATGACCACCCAAAAGATAACTCTGTAGTATTTACTTAGGAACAAATTAGAGAAGAGGGAAAGTTACTTATTACACAAGAAAATTAATAAGAGTAGACGTCATTAAACTTTCGAACTACCGTTTTGGATAGAGAAGAGATAGCGAACTCTGGTTTTCAGTTTACACCATTCTTTAGTATTTGTAAACACTTCAAAATGAGGTGTCACTTGACTTTTTATTGGGTTTACATTTAAAAACTGTCCCCCATTTTTTGGGGACACTTAAAATTTTTTAAATCATAAAATGAAACTTCCTGCTAAGATTGCATGGCCACCAAAAGGATATCTCTATATATTTACTTAAGATGGTAGAAGGGGGGGGGGGTTGACTTTTTATTCACACTGTACTTCATGTTATTAAATCAATTTATAACAGGCAACGGTATCGAGTGCGGAATCGAGAATCAATACCAAAGTTCTGGAATTTGCCCATCGCCATTTATAATTGTTGAATATCAAAAGCCAAAACAAATTTAATCTGGATATCTCTACAACCCCCAAGCTCAACAACCTCTGCTCCACAAATTGACAGATTGGTGAGGTTTTACTGTAGGCCTAATTGTATGCACTGTTCATGCCTCATTGCAAAACTTGGGCAAGCAATACTAAATGAGTACCTACAGTAATGAGCATTATATTTACAAGTTTGCGGTTATTTCCTGTTTCAGAGGCCGCAAGAGGTTTGTCTCTGAAGGAGATGGAGGTCGTATCAAGGACAACAAGGCTACCATTTAAAACCACCGCTACAAAAATCTGCAAACAATATTATTTTCTTCATTGTATGTTTCTTCCCTTTGCAAGATAGGCACACCATTATCATGTAAATAGATTTTAACAGTATTTTGTTTTAGGTTTTGCATTTATTTTTATCGATTAATAATATTGGTAATTCAAAGTAGTGGTTGTAATAGTTAGCTATCAAAGCTTACAGTTATTGATAATTATTTGTGACTCGTGCGGGCTGGTTTTTTTGTACTGTTTCTACTTGTTACATTTTACTTTGATTCTTGAGTAATGGGAATAATTAATAAGGTGTGCTTTTTTTTGCAATAAGTGAGAAGTAAAAGGCGTTTTTGGATTAACATGTTGAATTTCAAAGTTGAAGGTAGAATTTGAGTTTTGTTTTAGGGTGTTCTAAGTACTGGGATTGTAATCAACAGTGTGTCTCTGATTGACTATCTGTCAACATTGATTTGGTTTGTTAAATAAAAGTCAATAATACTGAAAAAATTAGACGTTGAAGATTTGTTTTAGTCCTTTTTGATCCTTTATTTTACACATTGGGTTATGTTGTGATATTGGAGGGATTTGTTGCAGAAAGTCAACTGTGTCAGAAGGTCAAATAATTTTTCCTACATTCACCTGACAAAGTTGGCTTCCTTGACCTGTTTATAGTACAGAAAGCTGCTAATTGCTGCATATTTATACTTTGCCGTACGGGTTATAATTTGTCGTACGGTTTATACTTTGCCGCACATCAGGATTCCAACGAAACAACACAAAACAGCGTGGTTCTATTATGCACGTAATCCGTGTACACTTGGAAATAGGTTGGCAGCACTTAAAGATAATAATACTATGAGCAGCTGATTGACTATTATAACTACGATTTAACTTGTCATTTCGTGTTTATAGTTTTGGTATTTCTAAAATTTCTGGACTTTTCTTTTAAACGTTTTTAAAACATTCCTACGATCTTAATAAACAAGAAAATACCTTTAAAGCATTTTTTTAGGCGCGGAAACCACTTCAAATTACAAAAACATACGGAACTATATTCTCAAAACGCGGAGCACATTTCTTGCCGAGGAAAAATAGCGGAGTGATACGGACCGGGTACTGCTTTCTCTAGGGCACCTATTTGTGTTGCCAGCTGAACCTAAAAACGTGTTGTATAGTGTTTGAAAGACTAAATTATTTATATGCTTTATAGTGACTGTAGGAAAAATATAATGTGTAACACGAGTGCAAAAGGCCTTTGCTGCACTCGAGATCATTCCTTTTCATAAACATTGCTCTTGTGTGCAGCAAAGTGCCACTTTGCCCACTAGTTACACAAATAACTATATCCTTGTACCATTAGATCAAAAACAATATATTTTCTGTAGAGTTAGGTCAACAGTCCCACCTGGTCAACAAGTAAAGTCAGTACTTAAAACGTAGGCTGTGTACATGAGATGACCTAATGGGATTTTGACCTAGTGAACAGTTCCTACGAAGAACAAATTTTTGATCAAACGATCTATTTGGATGTGTTGCTGAAAGTCAGAAGGTCAAAAGTAGGAATAGTCTTTTCAAAACAATGATAGTCCTCTCTACGCACGACTTCAATTATCTCGTGTTTTGGTGTACTTAGAATTGTGTGAATTTTTTTAATTGGCACAGAGGTTCTTGGTTTGTACTAGTGGCAGACTGTTTAGTTGAAATGAAATGCAATAGGCATCGTCAAAACAAATGCTGGAATAGTTGGAATATAAAACAATTTATCGATCTTATTAACACTTTAACCGAAACATGAGTGGCACTTACGTAAATAGAAACATTCGGTCTCAGAGACCGGACTATTTTTCATCAACAAATTTCATGTAAAATCTTAGATTTAGTATTTTTTTAAGTATATGCGTTCTTGAGGTAAGTAAAACATACATTTTAGTACAAATATATGTATTATAAAAGTAATATTAGTTTTAAAAAAATTTAATAAAATGTATAATAAACATAAAACATACAATATACTGGAGACATAAAATAAAAAATAAAATTCTTCTTGTCTGAACTTGTCTTTTACATACAGTCACAGTCTATGCACACTTTGCGGGTTTTTTGAAAAAAAAGCCTTTGCATAAAGAACTGCCTACAAAGACCGGCAGCGCTATATACGTTACTCGAAAGATCCGGCACGTTTTCAAAATGGAGACGTTCACTTAATGACCGCTGATTGGGGACTGACTGATTTTTACAGTTCTAAGAACAAGAAAAAAATGAATTTACCATCACTATTAGGCCTACATTTATTATTACTTATTAAACATCTTTCAGTATTACCAGTTTCCATTTTTCATAACAATTTATAACAAATCTTCATCTATATCTATATTCTATATATATTATTTCTCTTAGTTAATAGTAAAAAATTCAAAAATATTCATCTGTTCATATTTCAAATGTAAACAAATCTTTTACCCATACGGATAACATGGGAACTTCAGAAGCCACTAGGGCAGAGCCCTCATTTCATTTCTTGAAAACGCTTCTTATTGCACACCTAAAGCCTATTTAGAATCTCCATGCCAATTCCCAAGTTCATATGGTCAGTAGTTTTTAGGAGTATGCGAAGCAGCAAACAATTTTCGATTCAAAGCCACAATTCGATTCAAAAGGTTTTAGATTTGAATCGATGCAACTCGATTCGAAGCAATACGGCATTTTTCTATTCATACTTGAAAATGGAGTGAAGTTTTAATAGTCTAATTAAAATTTACCACATATGTGTAGTGCAAATTTTTGTTGAAGTGGTATTAGGCCTATTCATACATATGTCATGAATTTTAGGTGAAAAAATATTTATTATTTTCAATCATACATTAGAAGAACCTTTATTGCTGCAAATGTCAGTGAGCTGCTTTACTTGCAAGTCTATTTCTTAGTTTTATTTGCAGAATCATATTTTTTAGCATGTTACCTATTTTATAATATTGATTTTATAAATAAAGATATGTTTTGGTGTAAACAAATAAAAACATTTGCAAGATTTGTACTGAAACTTTCAATTGGTTCACATTGATAGAATGAGAGGATAGAATCAGATCTACAAACTACAAGGAATACATTCATAGCAGACCTACAAAAATACAAAATTTACCAGTCTAAAACATCAATATTACTAGTTAAGTATCAAGTAACAATCTTTCAGACCTGTGTTATTTTTAGAATGATTTTGGAATGACTTGTTTTGGCTATGTTTACAGGAGTAAAACATGTTTTACACTGGTTAAACTTTACAGAACTTTTGATAATTTGCAATGCAAAAACAAAAAATTATAAAATAATTTAAGCAATTTAATACAAGCAAAGAATTAATTAAATAAGAACGCCTTCGCAAAAGAAACACAACAACAACGCGCTCCTGTATTGCGGGTATTGCGTTGACATTCTGCAGGCGTTTTTCTTTATAATCTATATATTAATTTGAAACTGTTTTTCTTTCTGACAGCTATTTTGAGAGAACGGCTGGGCGTAGAAACTCGGTAGAGGTGTCTAAAGAAAGGTCTAGGTCTGTAGATGAGCCATCAAAAGAGAAACATGGTGATTTCCCTCGGGGCTCTGCCCCAGTGGCCTTTAAATTCCCATCCCATGTTATTCTTATGGAGGAAAACGAGGTTTTTGTCACAGCTAATTTGAGAGAACGGCTGGGCGTAAAAACTTGGTAGGGGTGTCTAAAGAAAGGTATTGGTCTGTAGGTGAGCCCTCAAAAGAGAAACGAGGTAAATTTCCTTGGGGCTCTGTCCCAGAGGCCTTTAAAGTTCCCTCTGCAATTTTGTTTACATTACGACCATATGCAAATTTTACACTACTTTTAATGAACCAGCTGTTAATATTAAAATTGTATTTAAAGGTCTACTGAAACTGTCAAAATTAAATGTTTACATTATTATTTATGATTTTATATTGATTCTCCACTGCATGGCAAGTTTTTTTATAGTTTCAACAAAATGATGAATTTATCATACGTTTTAAATGTTTTCTTCAAAAATCTATGCTTTATTGCTCTTAGAAAATTTTAAATTATGAAATAAGTGTGACATATCAATTTTGAAGGAATATATGATTATTCCTTATCGGGTTAGCTTATATATATTGTAAAGTTGGCACTTGCCTTTGTTTGCCTACTTTCAATCACCATTTATTTTTTAATTCAAGAAAGAGCACCAGAATTTCATTTATTGGTATACAAGTTTTCGATAATCGGGTTGAAAATTGTGTCATAGATGAGTACGTTGAGGATGAGAGCTGTGTTCAAGTTTTGGAATAGAATAACTACAGAGTATGTTTCATTTATGGTTTTGGTGAAGTAGTTGAACTAATGTCAATTCAGGTATTAAAAAAAAATGTGTACAGGGTTTTTACTTTGATGTACAAATGTAGCTAGGTCGAACAACGCATCTAAACCTAACTATATACAAAACATTCGGAAACACAACAGTGTCATCACATCTAATCGCATTTGCATAATTTGTTACCAAGGCTGGACTAGGTTACAGATTTGGTTCCGCAAATGTTCAAGATTTGTGATCAAATTTCCTACAAATGGTTCATTCCATCCACGAAATACATGCAGAGCTTTATGTGATCGATGGCCAAGGCAAAACTACCCCATAAGTTAATGAATTATCAAGTAAGAACAGGATGATTAAATACATGAGTCGATGTGGCAAGAGAAGGAATTAAAATTGCTTAGATCGAAGTAAGAATGTTACTGCTTTCTAGAGAATCAGATATTTTTATCAAATACAAAAAAAAACTAATTTTATATGCTGATGAAATTCTGTATTTTTATGGCCAAAGATGAAGATTTACTTATAAATCCGGATACAATCTGAATGATTTTCCTAAAGCTGATGGAATTAGTTGTTAGTTATAAATATTGACTCTTTCCGTAACATGATAGACTAATTATATGAACTCATTCTCCCATATAGTGAAAGTGGCTTTGACATGAAACAAACTCATGAACAAACTATTATAAGACTCCTGAAAAACCTTTTGGGCAACCTAAAGCCGATAAAAAGGTAGGAAATATTGTGTTAAACAAATTCATCAATCACGTTTTTTAGGGAACACAACCGTCATACTTATTATCGCTTACCCTCCCTTCATTTAACTAAGAATTTAATGACTTCACTCTATCTATCGCAGTTAGCTGAATTTACATAAAACCTTAACATTAACCGTCGATTTCGACGGGGTTCCACTAGTCTATATATTAATTTGAAACTGTTTTTCTTTGTGACAGCTAATTTCAGAGAACGGCTGGGTGTAGAAACTCGGTAGGGGTCTCTAAAGAAAGGTCTTGGTCTGTAGATGAGCCATCAAAAGAGAAACGTGGTAAATTCCCTTGGGGCTCTGCCCCAGTGGCCTTTAAATTCCCATCCCATGTTATTCTTATGAAGGAAAAACGGGTTTTTGTCAGAGAACGGCTGGGCGTAGGAACTTGGTAGGGGTCTCTAAAGAAA